ACCCCACTCCCCCGCATCCCCGCGCCATCTGCCTCGCCCCTCCTCTTCCCACGCTCCTCCCCCGATTACCCGCCGCCCGCACTCACGTGCTCACCCGGGCTTGACTGGAGCGGCACATCTGCTAGAACAGAACGCAAGTGTCGTCAGATGAGCTCAACGAGAACAGAAATCTCGTGAGGAGCACAAGGACAAAAGCTCATTTAATCTTGATATCCAGTTCCAATGAAAACTATGAGAGCTTCCCCTGTCGATCCTTTAGTGTTTTGGGACTTCAAGCTAGAGGGGTCAAAAAAGTTACCACACGGATAACTGGTTCGTGACTGCCATCATCATCAGCAGCAGCAACATCATCATCATCCTCGTCATTGCCGCCATTGTGGACGTCATCATTGCATTGGCTCGTCATCATCAGTTTGTGCATTTAATCCGGCGACCTCGTCGTTCCACCGGGGGAACGATCAAGAAAACCCTTTAGGGGTTGATTGAAGACCTTCCTCGACTAGGAGGAAGGACCTTGATTGCTCCCGGCTGACCGGGAGCGCGGTATTGTCAATCTATTTCCCTCTTACCAATCCCCTCCCTTCCTCTTGCCGATCTCTCTCAAAGATCTCATCTTTTTCCTCTTCTTTTATCTCCTCTCCAACCCCCCTTCTCTTCTCCACCCTCCCACCTAATTGGTCGTATCATCTAAAATTTCTACTATGCGTGGCGAGCATCTTTCCTTTTTGCGCGTGTTTGACAATGCCGCCCATTCTGCCGTTCGAAATTTCGAACGAATTCGACAGGATTAATCTTCATCATTTCCTCCACCAACGCTGCAAATGGGATTAATTTCGGCATTTTTATTCAAAAGTTATGCGAATTTCTTTATTTTATCACTTTTTTTTATTATTTAATTTCAAAATTCAATTCCATTTCAGAAATTCGTGAAATAAATTTTGGAATTTACTAAATTTTATTCTTCTGAAGTTGAATCGATTTCTGTTGTCTGCCCCCCGTTACATTACGAAATTCTGCAGTTCATTTGAAAGTCCTTTGAAATTCTTTAGAAATTTCTTTTAAATTCATCTTTATCTTGTAACACGTCGAGAAATTTTCCTGATTTGACCTACATAATTCTGGAATTTCTCCCAACCTACTTTACTTGGCTATCACTAATTCTTTATGAAATCTCATAGTAAATTTTTAATTTAGGAATCAGTTTTCTATTCTAACTTTAAATTACTTTTTAAATTCTTCTAATTCCGAAAATACGTCAATAATTTTTTCATTTTACTTCAATTTTTTTTTGTCAACTCACCTCTACCTATTTTATCACCTCCTCGAACTTTTCGAGAGTTTTGCGAATATTTTGAAATTCGCTGACTTTTGCTTCAATTTCCTTAGTAATTATGAATTTACGACCAAATAATTTCGGAATTTTATTCCGACCTCGTGACCGCCTTATGCATGCTTTTCTATATAACCTACGCCATCCTTTGAAAATCTCCTCTCATTCCCTTACTTGGATTGAAAATTCTCACTCTCTCCCCCTCACTCTGACTTTGAATCGTCTCGACTTAATTTTGGAAGTTCGCCATACCTCGTTTTTTACTCGCCTTCCTCTCGCAGTCCCTTACTCCCCTTCTGCATGTCACCCTGGCTCCCCGTGACATCCGACAGCACGCACTCCAAAACCACGTTCGAGACGTTCGTGCCGCCAATCGACTCACTCGCTTTGACGCAACGACCGCGGCCACAGATCGTCCCTCTCATAACAGTGATCCCTCGACATCATCTTCACCTTCTTCATCTGTTGACTCCATGCAGACTGCAGAGTCGGCGAGCCCCTCCCTCCCCATCAGTGAAGGGCTTGCGCTACTAGCTCGCGATACCATGGCTGACTTGACTTACATATCCACCACTACGAGCACCAGTTCGGGTCCGGCCGCCCAATCGGATCTCGTACTGGCTCTCCTCGAGAACATGCGGGCCAAATTTGAGACCAGACTCGAGGCGAAATTCACGGCCCCCCATACTGGGCCAATCGCGGAGGCCCTCCATACTGGCTTTCCTAGAGAGAGAGAGAGAGAGAGAGAGAGAGAGAGAGAGAGAGAGAGAGAGAGAGAGAGAGACTATTTTAAGGTTTACTACTGGGGGCCACAAAGGCATTGAACGACGACTTTATCGCCAAAAATGACACGCAGTAGTCAACCTCATTTTTTCGTTAATTTTTTTTCACAACAACAATGACGAACACGTTCTCAGAGAAAAGAGTGACGAACATTGGTCATCATGCGAAAAGAAAGGGAAGGTCTTGTGCACCCTATTCAAATTTTTGTGGCTCTTTCGGGTCTGTGGCTGAATGCGCACACTGCTCTACCAACAACATTTCGTGTACTTGTAATTTGGGGTGTACTCTCTCTCTCTCTCTCTCTCTCTCTCTCTCTCTCTCTCTCTCCCTCTCTCTCTCTTTCTCTCTCTCTCTCTCTCTCTTCTCTGTCTTTCTCTCCACCTTATTTTTTTTCTTTGTCTCTATCTCTCTCACTCCCTCCCTCCAGCGGAGAATAACGTAGCTTTGACAGAAATTAAAAAGCTGTAATAAATTCTTTGTGACCGTTGTTTGACTTTCAGACCATTCATGCGGCGAGTGCGTGAGGTTGTGAAGAAAGACATCGCTCCAGAGAAAGGTGTCCGGTTTCAGATGACTGTTGTGCGTCCTTTGATGGCGGCTGCCGAAGCATATCTGGTCACCAATTTTGAGAACACAAACAAGGTGGTCATCCATTCGAGGAGGGTTATGATCCAACTTAAGGACATGAGACTCGTTGATAGGTTGTCGAAGCCTCGTTGGGTTGAAAAATATCAAGGTATGCTGAACGAAAAGGCTATAAACGAGAAGAAACATCAACGGATGGAGGTCAGACAAGCGGATAGAGATGGCAACAGAGCAGGACCAACGAAGAAGAAAGAAGTGTCACGCATCGAGGACTCTCTAGGTTTTTCGGATCTTTGGAGCATGGAGTCGGGGATTTCTTGCTAGTGAAGTGCTCGGTTTTAGGTCAGTTGCTTCTTGCCCTCCACCCTTTTGTGACCTAAATAAATAAATGCATGTGCATATATGTGCAAGTATGCCGCTTCGGCGACAGATGGATGTGTGCGCATTTGGCGTTGAACCACACAAACGTTGTTAACCTTGCATTTTCTATTATATCTTGAATATCTAAACCTTTTTGTTATGGATGCAGACGAGGGCGATGAAGAGGAAGAGCGGAGTAGCGACAACACAGAGCGAAATGAGGATAAAAAAAGAGAGATGGAGACGGGAGGAGGGTGGATGAGACAGTGATGTCACCATTTCCTGGGAGAACAAGAAACGGAAGCGAAAAGAAACGCATCAGAAAGGGAGGTGCTTGCAACACACCCTCAAATGATAGACAACTTATGCAAAAGAATAATTGAACGCAAGAAGGTAAGTAAACTCTACCACCACTGCTCCCCAGGTAGGAAGTCACTACTTTAGGTAA